GATTTTCTTTTGGTTCCGCCGACAGGACCTTCTGCTCTGTGCAGGGTAGAAAATGGCAGCACGCCTCCATTTAATTTAGTTCACTGTGCACACAGAGGCATCCCCTCTCTAGATTGGAAGCTCTTTGAGGGCAGGATGACTTCCACCCCCGTAGGATCTCCCATGATGATATAATGTATCCACAGAAGTCAGCTCCAAGACTGTGGAACGTAGCTGAAGTCCTGATTTGTCCACAGCCAACCAAGACCACATTAAGTTTCCCCATGGTGCAAGGAGCAATGAGAGCCAGCATGGAGCCAGGGGCCTGGACTTGCGGACGTTGGTTTCGTTGTTACCTGTTTCACTCAGTGTTATGTTGGGAATATCTCTCCTTGCCAGTAAATATAGGGTATAATTTTTAGTGACCGACCCATATTCCATTATATTTTCAGATATTTTTGTTGTTTTCAGGTTTTATTAATTTTTTCAAGAGAAATAACTAGAAGTAGAATTACTAACAAAACGACAATATTTTTAAAGCTTTTGCTGCGCATCGCCAAATATGAAAGGTCTCTCCATTTACCTGTACCTGGGAGTCTATCAGTTGTGTAAGAGTATCGGGGGTTCCCACCCCCATCCCTACCCCATCCTTTTCAGCAGAACTCAGTATTCTTTTTCGGTTTTTGCCAAAGTGATTCGTTTTTAAATCTCGTTTTACTTGGAATCAGGTTTAAACGAAACTTTTTGAAGGATTCTGAAGGGGAAAGGAAAATTTTGGAGGGTGGGCTGCCTTGAGGGACCTGTATGTGTGTGTCTGTGTCGGGGACGGGGGCAGGAGAGAGAGAGAAATAGAGGAAGAGGGGAAATGAAGGGAGGGAGGAAGAGGGAGCAGGGGGTGAGTGGTCCCAATGCAGGAGGGATGATACTTTTACTGCCTCCCCCCAACTTTCCCTGGCTTAGGAGTCTTGAGTCTGGTCTGTTCCCATCCGTCTGTCCCGTCCACATCTCCCTGGCTTACTTCCAACCCTGCAGCCAGGGTCCGGGGTTGGGATGTTGGCCGCCCTGCCCCACTGATGCCAGCCCTGGGTGGAACTCAGACTCAGACCATCTGTGGCCTCTGAATTTGTAGTTTGTGGGGAAGCTGTCTGCAAAAGAGCAGCAGAGCTGGGGCACTGCCTGCCTTCTCTATGATGTGAGAGGCCAACAGGAGAAAGGACCCTTCCCTGGGGACTTGCTGTGCCCATCCCTGAGGTCAGGCAGAGCCCTTGCCAGTCCTGACATGAGCAAGGGCTGCCGTGCCTTCTGAATATATAGGCTGGGATTTTGTCTGAATCACATGACGATGGCCCAGGTTTTCTTTTTCCCTCTTTGTTGCTTTTAATACATAAAATGAGCATGTGTTTATTTAAAACAGCTTTCAAACTTAAACAAATAATGACAGACTGTTCAAACAGACTTCGGAAATCACCCTAATCAGGATGTTTGAAAAAGCAAGAAGACTCTCCATGAAAGTAGCTTTAGGATCTTCAGTCCTGAAACAACAGGGTCTGCTCTGCACTTTAGAATCACAGATGGGCAAACCGTAGGAGCCAGATTCCATCTCAGGGGGTTTAAAGAACGCCCCTCAGCCCTACAACCTGACTTAGTAATGAACGAGGCAGTAGAGTTGGGCGTGTGTCATCACCAGAACACATGACAGGTACGTTTGAATTCACAGTTTCTATAGAAATCACCAAGCATCTTCAGAGCCAAAAGCTGACACTTTAGAGGGAGCTAGTAAATTGTTTCTGGAAATTAGCAGGCTTGGTAGGTAAACCATCTGGAGGGAAGGGCAGTTTTAGGAGGGATGTCGCAGGTTAGCAAGAAGACAGGCCAGAGAACAAGGTACCGTTTCCACTAGTTCACACTCTGGGCCACATTTACAAATGGCCTCAGTCACCTACATTTATCTTCACAACAACCAATTTTATGGGTGAAGTAAATGAAGCTCAGGGTTGGGTAATTTGTTCAAGGTCATAAGCAATAAAATGTCAAACTGGGATTTCACCCAGACCCTCTCCCCTGAGTTCAGAGCTAATTCCCAGATTCCCTGGGGCTGCGTCATCGTCTCTGTGCTCATTCTTTGGGTTAAGAGATGCTTCTTTAGCTCATTCCACTTTAGAAATGATTTTTTTCTTTATAGTGCACATCAGAAATGGGCCATGAGGTCCATTAGAAGCATAGTTATTAATGTGAGGGGCTGGGTCTTGGGAAAGGGAATTATTCTGGCCCCAGAGAGTTGGGGGTATTTGGAGAGGCGTTTCTTCTCCTGCTGGTACTGTGCACCAGACAAAGCAGCCTGAGTTTGTCGCTGCTTCCTCCACTTTCCCAGGATGGCTCCTGGTCTGGAAAGGTCAGATGGCCTAGGCCTTAGCCTGTTTCATATTCTGCCACAGAAAACTCCATTGATAACTAAAGGGATGCTGGGTCCAACCACTGACCCTCTCAACATCAAGCCGAACTGCATACTGCCCAGTGTTGGTACTCTGAGGAATTTGGGGTGCCCTTTGGCTGCGCTCTTGCGGGTTCCAGCCTGCCCATCCCTCACGGAGAACAGCACGGAGGGGAGGGCTGTTAGACGTTTGCTGTTGTGTCTGTGGGATCCTGAGATGCACTTTGCAAGAGGCAGTTTCTCTAAATAGGTCCTGACCCCTTTCCGCCCCATTTATCCCACTTACATGTAGGGAAGGCAGGAGGTGTCTTGACAAACAGCCGTGAGTGTTAGCTCAGCTTTGCGCTAAGGGCACTAAGCACATATTTAATTTATGTCTATTGCCTTGCTTGCTAAGGCTCAAACTTTGAAAAGGTTAACAATAGATTAAGAAAGAAGAAAACCCTTGCGCCCTCTCCTGGTAAAAGTTAATCCAGTACATCTGAAGGTATAGCTCACTCATGGGGAGCAGTTATTTGTCTAGACTAAGTAATCTTGTACTAATTCGACCAAAGCTATTGACACACTAGATGGACCACTAGGTCTTCACTGTTGGCGCTTTGGGGTGGATAATTCTTTGTGGTAAGGGCTGTCCGGTGCCTTGTGGATACTGAACAGCATCCCTGGCTTCTACCCATTAGATGCCAGCAGCACGCCCATCCCAGACCATGACTACCAAAAATGTTTCTAGGCATTGCCAAATGTCCCCTGGGGGACAAGACCACCGCAGTGAGACCCACTGCCCAAAACCCATGTCTGCTGTTTTTTTTTTTTTTTTCTTTTTTGGCCACACCTCGCAGCTTGCAGGATCTTAGTTCCCCGACCAGGGTTTGAACGCACGTCCTCGGCAGTGATAGTGCCGGGTCCTACCCACTGGACCGCCAGGGAATTCCCTCTTGTTTGCCTTTTGTAAAAGGTGCCACTGGTCACAGGGCAACCAGTGAGAGAGTGAGGATGGCTCCACACAAACCTTTCGTGACTGTGGGGTTGTTTTTTTTTTTTTTTTTTTTTCTTTTTTGGCCACACCTCGCAGCTTGCAGGATCTTAGTTCCCCGACCAGGGTTTGAACGCACGTCCTCGGCAGTGATAGTGCCGGGTCCTACCCACTGGACCGCCAGGGAATTCCCTCTTGTTTGCCTTTTGTAAAAGGTGCCACTGGTCACAGGGCAACCAGTGAGAGAGTGAGGATGGCTCCACACAAACCTTTCGTGACTGTGGGGGGCAATTCTGATGATTGGTAAACTGAGTTCACCTCTGGGAATTTGTCTAAAAAAATCCAAACAAGTAGACAAGGATTTATGTATAAAGCTATATCATAATGTTGTTTATGAGAGCAGAAGTTTAAAACAACCCAAATAAAGAATTGGTTAAATAAAGTACAGGATATAGATATATAAACATATATTATGGAATACTATGCAGTCATGAAAAATAATTGTGTAAGTTTATATTCAATAACATGAGAATTTTCCCTAATGATGCCTTAAACTCTCGAGACTACTGCCAGATGTCCAGAGGTTTCTGTACACAAAAGGAATAATTTCAAGAAGGCAGAGTAAGCATCTAGGTGAAGTATTAGGCCAAACACAGAACTCAAACCAATGTTTGACTTCAGAAAACTTCACTCTTTAATTGAACAAACATTTCTCAAACACCTACATGTATCAAGACCACACATAGCGCTGGGGAGACAAAGATGATACCTGGTCCCTCTACTGCAATACTTGCTCCAAACAGACAAAAACACAGTAAACATCGTCAGACCCTCCTCACACACAGTGATGCTGGATGTCTCCGTATGTCACCGTCTCCCATAGTGAAGGGCCTAACTGGAGCTACATCCTGTTTTCCTCTTCATGCCTGATTAATCACACCAAGGGAACATTTCATTTACTGCTTTATATATTCAGATATATTTAGAGTTGTCCAAATACTCATTGGGCCCAAACATGGAATCTAATCCTCCCCAACAAATCTAAGAAATGAGCATTCAACGGTCTCAGCTTCTTTCCTACAGCACAAGAACAAAGAAAATGAATCCATAAGATGGGTATGAAGAATAAATAAAATAATGCATGTCAGGCGTCTGTTTATATAGCAAGCACTCAATAAAGGAGTAGTTGGGGTTTTTTAAAAATTATTTTTACGAACGGCCATGCTAGCTAAAATTGCAAAGTCTCCCGTATTTCTACCTGCCTTTGCTGTTTTATCTTTTCCCTTAGCACCTACCACTCTCTGATACACTATATGAAACACGTAGCTTTGTTTACTGTCTATCCTACTCCACTGGGTCAAAGCTTTTGCGCTTTTAGCCTATTTCATTCACCGCTGTATCTCTACAGTGTCTGGTACATAAGTAGGGTCTCAAAAGATATTTCCTGAATGAAAGTGAAAAGAGTGGGTCTGAAATCATTGCCCCCAAAGTGCGTCTGACCTTTCCCCTCACCCTCCTGAAGGTGCCCAGGCACTTCAGATGCCTTTCTCCCTGTCATCTGGCATACCGTCTGTGCCGCTCTAATGTTCTTTTTCTTCCCTCCTCTTCCCACTGCAGGATGCCTTTGTGGAGCTGTACGGTCCCAGCATGCGGCCTCTGTTTGATTTCTCCTGGCTGTCTCTGAAGGCACTGCTCAGTCTGGCCCTGGTGGGAGCTTGCGTCACCCTGGGTGCCTATCTGGGCCATAAGTGAAGTCCACAAGCCGGCCACACACACATATGCAAAAGGTTCACTAAAGCAGTAGAAATAATATGCATTGTCACTGATGTACCATGAAGCGAAGCTGTGGTCTCTTAAAAACAAAAACAAACCACCACCAACAACGAAAAAACAGCTTTCAGGCTCAACGTCGAATCAGCTACTTACTGCCAAAGGGAAATACAATTTATTTTTTACATTATTAAGAAAAATAAGATTTATTTATTTAAGACAGTCCCATTGAACATGTCTTTGGAAACCCTACTGCTAATTACTAAGCCCCACCTGGATGGCTCCACCTGGTCTCCTGTGCCTATAAACACGGATTTCTGTTCCATGTTGTTGGCGCAACTGACTCACCATCTGAAAAGCAAACAAATTGACAAAGGACTTGACTGTTCCAGAAGCCGGGTTTCTGGCTGCTGGAGGTTAGGAAGAAGGTGTTCGCTTTCTTTGCCTTTTGTTTTTGTTTTTGTTTTTTTTTTTTGCCCTGGAGGCTGTGTTCTTAATAGAGGGGAGGTCCTTGGAGGGGAGACCATTCTTCCCTGGCCTGAAGAACAGGCACTTTGCATATGGTACACACCCGGCTGGAAGAAAACCATCGGAAACTTCAGATGGACTTGGTGTTTGCCAAGATCTCCACCCCGAAGGACAGTGACGGGAAAAATGCCCTTAAACCATAGGAAAGTATTTTTTTAAGCTACCAATTGTGCCGAGAAGCATTTTAGCAATTTATACAATATCATCCAGTACCTTAAACCCCGACGTGTATATTCATATATTTTGGATACGCTCCCCCTCCAAATACTGGCGCTGTCTCTGTATGAAACAGAATCCTCTGGAATGCGAGGAAGTGAACGTTTCGGTGACTTCCTCGGCATCAGGAAGCATCAGGCCGCCACAAGTGCCTGCTTTTCCGCAAGAGGCCGCGGTCTGTTCTGCCTTGCCCCAGCTCGGAGACCGCGTCCTGGAACCCAGCCTGGCCACTCGCTGGCCTGCTCGAGGGCTTTTAAACAGAGTGGTGTGGTCTGCGAATGTCTGGAAGCTGACGGAGCTCAGAATCGCGCGGGCAAGGAAAGAAGGCAGGAGGCCTGGTCCTGCTACCCTGGGGCCCCCTGGTTAGGCGCCTCTCCACGCGGAGCGTGGAACCCGGGAGCCAAGGCTCTTCGGGCGTTGATCACTGTGGAGGGAAGGAAACAGGCACTGCACCTTTGCTCGCGGAGGGAGGTGGTGATGGCTGGGGAGCCCGCCCCCCAAGGGAAACGCTGGCGTGCGCCTTGGCTGCGCGGCTGCCAGCCTGCCTGTGCAGCTTAAAGCAAGATTTTAAAGACTTTGGGGAGTGTCATAAATCCTAAAGAAAGCGTTAAAATGGATTAACTGACCTATGTCTGTGGAATTACGATGTAAAACATTCTTATCATTGTAGTTTGGTTTTATTTGAAAAACCTGACGGAGGTGGGGGGAAGTTCCAGGTGTGGAATGGGGGGATTATCTGTACTTCCTGGGGCGTCAAAAAAAAAAAAAAAAAAAACCTTTTATGGCTGAGTAATATTCCACTGTATACATGTACCACATCTTCTTTATCCATTTGTCTGTCGATGGGCACTTAGGTTGCTTCCATGACCTGGCTATTGTAAATAGTGCTGCAATGAACATTGGGGTGCATGTGTCTTTTTGAATTATGGTTTTCTCTGGGTATATGCCCACTAGTGGGATTGCTGGGTCATATGGTAATTCTATTTTTAGTTTTTTAAGGAGCCTCCATACTGTTCTCCATAGTGGCTGTATCAATTTACATTCCCATCAACAGTGCAAGAGGGTTCCCTTTTCTCCACATCCTCTCCAGCATTTGTCCAACAACTTAATTTTAAAACATCCCATAATCCACGTCTGTAAGCAATGCCTTATCTTATTAATAGGTCTAAAATAAAAACAAGACCAATATTGGAAACTTGTAATTTATATAATATACCTTGTCAAACTGTAGGAAGGTAGTCTAGTCTGCCAATTTTATGAACGTCTTTAAATACTGATAAACAAATAAGCTTGACTGATAAGTAATATTTTTGTACATATGGCTGAAGAAGCCTTGCCTGGCAAAGGCAAAAAATCTCTTCTGCCTTTGGGTGAATTTCATCTGGCTCCAGATATTTTCTCAAATGCTTGCTGACTTGTCTTTAGATACCATCTTTAAGATAAATCACTGCTGATTGTCCACAAACTGGAAGTTAAGGGCCTGCCCCACAGTTCATTGAGGCAGAAAGATGAGAACTTGCTGTTACTGTGGGGAAAGAGGCACATTTGCAGCCTGAGTAATGGGATCCATCCATCTAGGGAAAATACAGTTTTAATCACTCTGGTATCCTGCCTCATAAGGGCTTTTTTGAGGCTAGTGTCCAATAGACACTGTCAGTAGGGGTCCAGGCGACTGTGAGGAAAGCAGTTCTAGCCTGAAGTCCAGAGTGGAACAAGAATTTAGAAGTGAGGACATGAGGACCTGTGGCCTCAGCCTGAGCCAGCTGATGGAAACAGAGAGCACGAGAAATAAAAAGGATGCCCCTTCAGAGGCTGGGGGAAAAAAAAAAAAAAAAAAAAAAAAAAAAAATCAGTGCTGGAAAACGCTAGAGAAGTAGCAAAAGAAGTGAAATCTCCAGCTCATAAACTAGAAATATTTTTTCAAGTTTGGAATCAGCCTTGAGACATACGTGGAATAACTGTGGCATTATTGCATTATATACCATTTATCTGTATTAACTTTGGAATGTACTTATGTTCAATGTTTAATGCTGTGGTTGATATTTCGAAAGCTGCTTTGAAAAAAAAAAGATTACATGCATCTCAGCATCTTTTAAAAAAATTGTATTTAGTTATGGCCTCTACACTATTTGTTAGCAAAAATGATCATTTTTTCCATTTGAGATTTTTGGCTCTTAATTCTTTAAAAGCATTTCTGAGGAGGTGAGGTAAGCCCTGGGTCTCAGCTACCTGAGAAACCCTGGAGCATGCTGGCCACCCAGCCACTTTGCTTGAACCGAGTTACGTCCACTTCCATGTCAACAGAATTATTTATTGTGAGGGACATATCTGTTGTCCCTTTGACCTAGTTGCTTAGGTTTACTTGTCCTTGGCCAAATCAGAATTTAACTCACATCATTTAGGATTGCATACATGTTTGGTTAAACCCATGAGGTTCATTCGGCTGGAAATCCAGATGGAAGATGACCAGGGGATTACATTCTGGCTCCGATGGTTTGCCCTTTAGAGATGGTTTCCGTGCCCGTTTCCACGGAGACCTGTCTGGAGCCCTCCCATCCTCCTTCCATAGGGCCTTTCTCCGTGGCCGTCCTCAGGTCCTTCCTGAAATGCAGTGGCGCTTACGCCCCAGACGGAGAAAGCAAGAAACCCATGGTATGAAGCCAGACCTCCCTGGCGGGCCTCAGGGAACAGGACGATCAGACCTTTGAATGATTCTAATTTTTAAGCAAAATATTATCTTATGAAAGGTTTACATTGTCAAAAGCGAGGAATATGGAATATCAAATTCTGTGCTGCTATCCTGCCAAGATCATTCTAATGGAGTCGGTTTGCAGTACACTCCAAGTGGCGAGATCCTCCAAGCTGCTTTAGAAGTAACCATGAAGAACACGGACATTTTTAATGTAAAGCCTGTTTGTCTTTTGTTGTTGTTGTTGTTATTGTTCAAGCTGGGATTTGCAGTGTTCTAAAAATGTATATATAAAAAAGGTCACAGGGGCTAATTTCTGACTGGTTTCCTTTTGCTGTGGGGTTACATTATCTGGTTTTAATGATAAATGTTCCTGGCCACCTGACCCCAGAACTGTACAGTATTGTGGCTACACTCTCTCTAAGAGTAGTTGAAGTTGCATTTTCCTTGTTGTTAAAAACATGTTAGAAGCAATGAATATAAAAGCCTCAACTAGTCATTTTTTTCTCCTCCTTTTTTGCATTGTCTCAATTATTTTGCAGTTGGACAGCAGAGACCCATTCCTGCCTAACAGGTGTGGAGGAGGGATTCACACCTGAATTACCATCAGCGTGGTGCACATGTTGGCCCAGGTCAGCGTTCAACAGAGCACGTGCACTTTCCAAATGGAGGTCGAGGGCTCTAAAAAAAGCCACAAGGAGAAAAGCACCCAAGAACCTCCTGGGTCCTCCCAGGCCCTCGCCGCACAGACAGCCCGAAAGAGAGATCAAAATGACAGCTCGTATCTTCTGCAGCAAACAGCTCATCTCAGATTTTGCAGGCTTAAGATGTGGCTTAAAGTCACATTTCGAATGAAGGAAGCACTTTGCTATATAGTTCAAGCCAAAACCCAACAGCCTCGGCCCCAGCTCACTTATCTCTGTCTATTCAGATATGACCTTCCATTAAGATTTGACTTTATTTCATTAGAAAATGTTTAGGCTTATCATTTAAAGACCTAGTCCTGGCCCAATGTGGGAAATTAGGAAGTGATCATAAATCAAGAGGAGTTCTAATAATCAGGATTAGACATAAATATGTAGGACAGTCCCAACACACGTCTGGGTTTTTTGCATCGAGGATCTATGGGATAAACAGAATTGCAAATTGTCTATACTGTAATTAAACTTATGCTAAAATGATGAACTTATACATGTGAACTTAAATTCTAATTTCGACTGTGCTTCTAAGGCAGCGGCTGTTTTTATACTTCCTTATCACTTATAGTTAGTAATGGACACCTCCTCTATCAGAAAAAAAACAGGAAGGGCTTGAAATATAAGCCATTCTAAGGAAATTAGGGAGTCAGTTGAAATTCTATTCTGATCTTATTCTGTGGTGTCTTTTGCAGCCCAGACAAATGTGCTTACACACTTTTAAGGAATACAATTCTACATTGTTAAGCTTATGAAGGTTCCAATCAGATCTTTATTGTTATTCAATTTGAATCTTCCCAGGGATTTTTTTTTTTTTTTTTTTAATTATTATGGGACAAAGGACATTTGTTGCAGGGTTGGGAGGAAGAATTTTCAAATGAGCAAAACATTCCCAAGATTGGATCAGGGTGTGGAGGCTTTCAGAATAGCCAGGACTGTAGGATATGAGATGCAAACAAGTGAAAACTTCACTAGGATCAATGTGATGCCTCCGTGAAGGACCTTATGCAACAAACAAGAAACATTTTCAAGTTCTGTGGTATATTTAGCTTCTAGAGACAACA